GACATTATTAACTGTCTTGATATTTACTTTGAAAGCTGACGCTCGCGATTATGGTAAGGGGCGTTACATTTCTGACACGTGCTTGTGGTGTTCGGCCAATCACAATGCACTGGGTCAGCTGGCCAATCAGAGCAGACTGCGCTTGTCAAAGGAGGGGGCTTTGTTGAAAACGACATGTTTGAGAGAGGCGGGGCATAGAGGACCTACAATAATGTACAGTATTTGAAAAATAATGTTTTTTGAACATTAAAGCATGTCAACATATTCTGTTACACCAAATACACAAAATAATGATCTTTAAAATAGCATCATATGACCCCTTTAATTTTTAGTGTATAATTTCAGTTATTTGAATCATTTCTGTATTCAAAATTTTATATTTAAAACATTAATCTCCACATGAATTTAATTGCACTCATGCTACCTCTGAGCCTCATTAAACATCTGAAAATGTACCTACAAGCCATGTTTGTGTACTTCTGTGCCACCTCTGTAGTACAAATTAATTTTAAGGAATGAAGCAAGTGACTGTCTTTATGAACTGACAGAAATCTGTCGTAGCGACGGAACTTTAATCCCTGCAATCGTCACATCTAATCCTCTCTAAAACACCAGTGGAAACATACCGACATGTACGAGCGCGTTCCTACAAAAGAGTTGGCCATTGAGTCGATGAGCTGCCCGCTCACGCCAAAGTCACACAGTTTGATCTCCCCGCGGGAATTGACCAGAATATTTGAAGGTTTCACATCTGTGAACGAGAAAAGACAGTCTCATATTATTTCTGACAGATACTGACAGAATTTGACTGAATTATTTTAGCACATTCTAGACTTATTTCAGTTTTTAGTTTAGACAGGGCTTGACAGTGCACGCATTGCCCTCATATTTGGGACCAAAAATAGATGTGTAAAAACTGTACAATGTGTTTAGAAGCATGTGTGCAAATAAAAGTCCCAGCAGGCCCTTAAAAAGTCTAAAACAAAACAATTTCATTACATTTAATGTCCTAAAAGTTCTTAAACATCTTAATTGGTACAACAAATGTCTTTTAATCGTTTAAAGAGGTCTTACATGTCGGGATGAAAAACTGAAATTATATTATTTCCTAATGTGACTTCATAGGCACAATAACTATAAATACACTGCAAAAAAGTTGCTGCCTTACATTTTTTTTTTTTTTTTTTTTAAGTACAATCAACTGTATAAGTAATTTCAACTTAAATTACATTAAACTGACTTAAAAATATAAGTTAAATCTTGTATAACTTATTTAAATTAGTTCAAAATTTTGATAAGTTAATGTTGTCATGACTTATTGATCATACAATTTTTACAGTGTACAGTATATACATGTTTTAGACGGTTCTAAAATGTTTCCTTAGATTTGGCCTATAAATAATAGCATAATTATTAATTATTAAGTTTGAAGTGGAGTCAACACCCACTGTACTTTTTTTGTGTTCTAATAAATTAAATTATTCTGCTTGTAAATGTCACCTTGTATATGTTTAAGGAAAACATTTTTTATGTGCTCCTACGTATTTCAACTTATGAGCACATGTGCTCCTTGGGAAAAAAGTAAGGGTTAATTAATTTCTTTACCTCTGTGAATAATCTGGTGCTTTTCTCGAAGGTAAGCGAGACCTCTTAAAACCTGTTTGAAGAAAAAAAGAAAGAAAAATACATTCTGAAATCTAATAAAAGGTATAAATGTTGTTCCAAAACCATATGAGTTGGGGTTTTTGTTGTGGAAACAACAGGAAAATTTCACAGAATGTCAAACTCATCTTTTTCCATATATCAACAGCATGAATGAAATTTGAGAACTTCAATGGAGATATTTCATTGTTTGGAAAAAGAGCAGCATGAACACTGCGCTAGACATCTCATTTAGCCTTTCACTGAATAAAGCAAGTCATGCAGATTTGGGAGGAACTATTGCTATAAAAAGAAAAGATTAAAAGTCAAAAATGTGACAACTGCAGATCATATTGTGCTTTAAATACTACATTAGTGATGCACGAATACTTTTTCCAGAAAGAGTACGATACGCTGATACTTTCACTTTTGGTACTTTCCAATAATGGTTACAGATACCAGTTTCAGAAACCTGAATCATATCATCTGGCTTAATTCATTTTATCAAATATATGTTTCCTTAAATTATTTTCACTCTTAATTATGCCTGTTAAAACATATTGCACAAGCTTCTATTACTTTCACTGCACATTCTACGGCTCTATTGTATTTTATCTTTCATTTAATGGCAGATCGCACATTTAGAGCTGTACCAGAGCAGCGGTACACATCACATGACATTTTATTTAATAATGTAGAGTACCACTCTACATAAATCATGCAACAGCTAATGTTTTTACTTACATATACACTTTAGTATTGTATAGGTGCACCAATAGTACACACACAAAAAAACATGTGAAACATCTAAAACATTCTGAAGTTGGGCTTTTGTAATTGAACTCAGAGTTTTACATATTATTCGAGTAAACACTCACGGCTATGCTGACTTTCCCCAAGATCTCCTCTGGAATTCTGCGAGCCTCTTTCTGAACCTGATCCAAAGAGCCTCCGTCCTGACAACAAGGAGAAACACACAAAACCAATAACCACAATTAAGAGTTTTTAAAGGGCCCTCGTTGTGAAGTTTTGTATTCATGTTGTTTAGGCCATCTATATATGTTAGTGCAGGGTTTCCCAAACAGAACACATCAGAATAAGAATTGAAATATTTTATGTACCTGAATATCATGTCATTGTTAAACAATATCAGAGAGCCACAAGCATGTGTCAGTGTTGTTAAATTATGAAATGATTTACTTAATCTCAGAGGGACTTCTGGGCTCGTATTCACAAAACATTTTATCTTACCACTAAGAGTTCTCCTAAATAGCAGTAAAAGTTTTTAGCTAAGAGCTTTCTCTAAGGAACAAACTTTTACTAAGGAATAGAGAGCAGTCTTTAGCTAAGAGTAAGCGACCTCATTGCTATGGATGATGTCAGCATGCTTACTAACTATGCACACAGTGTTTGGCTCTGTCAGAGATTTATTCATAGAAATATTGTAGAGCAAAAATTTAGGAGTCCTAAATTTAGGACTGACACACCCATTATTTTTAAGATTCTCTCCTAAATCAGCATGTTATGAGCTACTTTTAGCCTTACGATGTTTTGTGAATACGGGCCCAGGTATATATCTTAGCTCAATGGGGTTGGTCTGAAAAAATTTGGGGAAAAAGCCCCTAAACGTACCATGTTCTCCATACAGATGCTAATCTCCCCGTCGCTGTAAAACGCCCCGTAGAAACCCACGATGTACGGAGAGTTACACTCATGCAGGACCTGCAGCTCCCTGATGATCTGGTGCCTGATGGCTGGCTTGATCTCCAGATGAATTAACTACAGAAACACAGAAAACACACACATGCAGCACACATACGCGCCTAGTTGGGTATTTTCATTATGTCTATGGACAGCATCATTGTAGAAATCAACAGGGGACATTTATGATAGAATGATTGGAGATGGGATGATGCATTTTTTTGTAGTTTGGGTTTTTTAAATTTGTTTTGGGTTACATGATGGAAATTAAGTCTGTGGTTCACACAAGTTCAAGATATTTTGACGTTTTATTCTAGGACATAAAATCCACCAGTAATTTCTCCTAATGATTTTTAAAGCTTTTACTTGTCTTGAAATAGGCGTTTGTTAACAACCATCTAAATGGGACTATAGAGATTGTCAGGACATTAAACGTCACGCCGAACAGGTAAACTCATCCACTCACTAGATTGTGTTTATAATCACACTTTTGCAAACTATTCTGACTCAAACTTTCATGGAAAATGTTTTTAAGTAACGACTGAAAGAGTTGTGAAGTCATGCGACCGTTTATAGCCTACGTGTAGCTTTTTACTTCTGATGATTGTATTTAGGCTTCAAAAAGTTGTGTTCATTTGTGGAGATTATCATGACGAACAAACACGCAAGACTCGTAAACATTTGGTCACAGAGCTGATTTTCTGCACTAATCCAAAAGCCAGTGGAAAAATCCTATTGGGTTTCTGGTGATGCGAACTTACAAAAATATCTCATCGCTGCAGCGCTCTATACACTTATTGTGAAAGTCTAGCAGGACAGATGGAGGGTTTAAAAGCGGAAATGTGAAACTTATACTACGAAATGCAATTATTTGACTTGTTTTCTGAGATGAAGACATTTGTCTGGTTCATTCCGTGTGAAATCAGCTTCCCCGGCTCAAATTTTTGATTTTGCATATATTTTTTCTGAAGAAAGATAGACATGTATAGTGATGACAGCCAAAATATTAAATGTCATGGATGAATATTTACTGAGTAATCCACTATTTTGTAGAGGGGGGTCAAAATGGCAATTTTCACCTGAGATTCAGAGCCAAATTACAGGGGGTAAAAATGACTTCAGAGAGCAGCATCATTATTTTATTTTTACACAGAGATTGGTAGGTCTGTTAGTAAAATCTGTTGACTTTAGCAATCTTTGTTGCATTATGTGCCAATGGTGACCATTCAAAAATGGGGAAAGAGCACTTTTCAAGTTTTTTCTCCAAAGTTTGCATGCCTGTAACTCAAGAAGTATTAAAGATATCTTAATGCCCTTTTAGATATTGGGTCTTAACAAACTTTCCTTTTGGCGTCTTTATTTTTAAGGCCCTATATGGTTCGGTTCCAGAGATAATGGAATTTCAATATGGCTCCAGGAGTAAATCGTTAAACAGCTATGTTCTATGCAATTGTTTTAATAGAGGTAAACAAGATACAATTCTAATTTAAACATTATCTCTTCTTCAGACATTGTTGTTTGAATAAAATAAGAATCAGCTGCATACAAAGTGACCAAATCTGGTTTTCAACCACTGAAAATGGGTAATATTCAACAATCTGGACATTGAGCCTCATTGAGATCCCCATATCTCTGGGATTGAACGATGTAGGGCCTTGAAATTTAAGATTCCAAAAGAAAAGTTTATTAACAACTAGAATCTAAAATCATATTGCGATATCTTTAATACTTCCTGAGTTATAGGCATGCAAACTTTGGAAAAATAATATTTATGGCACTAAGACAGGTATGTTCAATGCAGTTGTCCTGACAGAAGGAAACAAGATACATATCTAGTTTCAATATTATTTGTTCTTCAGATATTCCTCTTTAAAAGAAAAGAAAAGCATCATATTTTTGCAAACTGACCCACATTTGGTTTTTGGCCACTGAAAATGTGTACATTTGAACGATTTACTCCTGGAGCCATATTGAAATCCCAATATCTCTGGAACTGAACCATATAGGGCCTTAAAAATAAAGATGCCAAAAGGAAAGTTTGTTAAGACCCAATATCTAAAAGGACATTAAGATATCTTTAATACTTCTAGAGTTACAGGCATGCAAACTTCGGAGAAAAAACTTAAAAGACCAACACCGGCACATAAAGCAACAAAGATTGCTCAAGTCAACAGATTTTACGATGATCAGATTATGATGCTCATGCTGCTATCTTTCTGAAGTCATTTTTAACCCCCTGTAATTTGACTCTGAATCTCAGGTGAAAACTGCCATTTTGACCCCCATCTACAAAATAGTGGATTACTCAGTAAATATTCATCCATGACATTTAATATTTTGGCTTTCATCACTATACATGTCTATCTTTCTTCAGAAAAAATATTAGCAAAATCAAAAGTTTGAGCCAGGGACCTCTGGTTGAGTTGACACGGAATGACTCTTCTGTCAAACTGAATGTTTCTGATGAAAATGGCAAATGAAAAATGTTGGCGACTCACCTTCCGGGCCATTACAAGGCCAGAGGGTTTGTGGCACACTTTATTAACCACACCTCCATTTCCAGCTCCCAGTTCACAGATATGCTGGAAATCATCATCTTTCAGCTCGCCCAGATTGGCTTTCTGCGTGAGAAAAGCTGCCAGACGCTTCTTCTGCAGCTCATCCAAATCCAGCTCTTCCAGCTTCTTCTGTAGGGTCTCAAGATTCGCTCTGAGATTACATAACGAAAAATATGTCAAGTGACATGCACACAATCTTCTCTTTCCAGGTTGGACTACATACTTACTCTGAAGCTGCATCGATGGATGTAGAGGTCGTCTGTGCCTCTCCGGATCCGGTTATAACTATGGGCTCTGGTCTCTTTTTCGGAGCCATGGCTGATGTTTGAAAAGGCTGAGGAGACCTTTAATCTAAAGCGAGCTCAGACTGAGCTTTACTGTATAATAACTGATTTACAGCTTGTCATCGAGCTGGTAAGTTCCCAGATCAGTCTATAAAAACTCCTCAACCTGTTTACTGTCCAGATCTGATCATAATTATATTTAAACACTAGGAGTATGAATGTCTGTACTGTGAGCTGACATTCACTTTAATTCACACTAATGTGATGCGGACTCTTATAACGTTACTATATAGAGATAACAATCAAGCCATAAAATCACCTGTAACCTATAAACAACATGTGCTACTGTCGCTAACACACGACACCACACGTGCGCCTTAGCAAAAAGCACATTCACTTTATAAAACTAGTATAAATGAACTAGAAGTAATAAAAGACATTATTTTGATTTCTCGGTCCGCGCGACAGGATGCTGTTAGCTTGCTAGCATCGTTCCGAGTGTCTGCTGAGGTTTAAAGCGTCTGTCAGCGCTCACTGTCTCTCTCATGTAATGGTAAATGAGTTCCCGAGCTCCGTGGCGAGTGAAGCCGGTCCCGGTGAGCGGGATGTCCCGGTAGAGGAGGCTGAGGATGAGGAAAACGCGGTGAACTTCGGCCCAGCTGCTCTCCGCAGGTTACCGGAAACATCAGAGCGCAGAACCCGCGCCAACTCTCGCGAGATGAGAGAGGAACGCTCGCTTAAAGTTCATTTGGCATTTTATTAATATTTTATGTTGCTATTTTAATTTTGAACAAGCTACCACGTTATAGTTGTTTCACTAATTGTGATTTTTTAAAATAAACTACCAGTCAAAAGTTTTTGGACAGTAAGATTTGTTTTTGAATAATACTTTTCTGCTCACCAAGCCTGCATTTTTTATTTTTATTCAAAATACAGCAAAAGCAGTAATATTGTGAAATTTAAAATACTAGTAATAGTAATAATTTCTACCAAAAACACTGACTGGTCTGGTTAGTGATGTTGGACTGCTATTATTTTGAACACAACTGTATGTAATTGTATACTGGCGAATATGTTTTTCTATTATATTTCTATTTTATTTATTTTACAGGTGGTATTATGGTTATCAGTACCTTTTAAGGGGGTAAAAATATATTGTTTAAATAGCAATGTTATTTTAGTATCTTTGAAATACTCAATTTTTTTATATTTTGAATTAGTTTTGATTTTTCCATTTTAATTTAAAAGTTTTAGTAATTTTGTGTATTTTCCTAATTTATTGCAACTTTACTTATATTTTATTATTTTTATTTGCAGACTCATTGCAGGCAAGCTGCAAATTCTTTATCAATATAAATGCTCAGTCATACCAAAAATATAATGTATAGAATGTGCAGTCAAAGTAATTTTAAAATGGCTTTGAATAAGTTTCAACTAAATTTAGACACACACAACACATCTGACCACATGCAGAACACAATGAATGAATGAGAACAGGTTCACATCAGTCATCAGATTGTCATTAAGCTACAAAACATTTGGAAATGTGATTCTAAATTACTGTCAGAGGTAATATTAACAATTATTAAAATCTAGAACAGAAACAAACAAAAAAACAGAAAAAATAAATACTTAAAGCTCAGTTAATAGTTTTGGACCTGGGTTTTTTCGACTTTTGGGTTTAGTAGTTTTAACTAGATTTTCTAAAGTGCACACTTTTGTCTTCTAAATATGTAGAAACAGTCTCTTCTTTGTGGAAATCTTCATCGTCGGAGGAAAACGGAGTCAGATCCACGATAACGCTGCGCACCGGTTTAGTTCACATCTATCACGGGAAAATCAGATCAGATCAGATCCTTCCTCTCTGTCATGAGAACACAGAGATGAATGCAGCTGATCTTACTGTGTTCGATCTGTTGATGTTGAACAGATTCTTTGTTTTTGTCGCTCTTGTCGTGTCTCACGGCCCTCCAGCTGCTGTCAGACAGATATTCAATCTCCTCCACCTCTTCAACACATTTCTCCAGAACTTCACACAGCAAACAAACAGCAACTGCAGCAGAAGAGATGTCTCAGGATTTATTATATAAACTGCAGACATCACTAAACTGCCATGTGCATTGTCTGATTTATTTGTTAACATCATTACTGTGATTGAATGTAGAAATTCCTGCTTCAAACGCAAGCAAAAACTTATTTCAAATTAGATTTTTTTTGTTACTGTTAACAGTAGATTGTGTCACCAAACCGATTGCTACAAATGCCCACAAAATGCAATATATGACTGCAAAAAAGTACTTGCATGAGATCTTGTTTTTTATATTATAACATGATAGCAATATCACAAGAGCGAGAGAGCTGGTTTCATAAATATGTGCATGATTGCAAACGTGATATTTATTTTATACAAATACACAGTGTTTTAAATTTACATTTTAAATTGAAACAAAAGTTATTTTCTTTATTTTGCCTATGAAAATAGTTCCAAACAAATCAATAGCAGAACTGTTTCCGAGCAACACAGTGGTGTTTCATTACTGACTCAATCAGCTCCTTTGAACGAATCATTTGAATAAATGATTCACTCAATAAGTGATTCGCCGCCACTGACTGGCAGATAAAGCTTCATATTTATCATTTTATTTTTTCATATTTCTATATTCAAAATTTAATTTTGAAAACATCAATCTCATTACATTTATGCAGATGTAATTGTACCAATTCAGATGCACCTCTGCAGTGCAAAGTTGAATTTTGTTGCTTCATTTGTGATTTCATTTGCTTGGTAACAGCTCTATATAGTGTCTTATTATTATTAGAGCTATATATAGTCACACTGACTTCATCTGCAAAGTATTACTAAATAAAATATGCAAGCAAAGCAGTAAAAGAGCAGGGAATGGTTGGCTGCAGGTGAGATTACCTGTCGATCCGCAGCTCATCAAACGGAGCGTATCTGTGGCACACGGGACACGTCCACCTGGACTTCTTCTCGTTCATTTGCAGGTTCTGAGAGACTCAGACTTTCTGTTAGTGAGAAAGTGTTCTGTTGTGTCTGTTTCCAGGAAAACATCTTTGCTTGTGTTTCACAGAGGAATACAGAGGCATGGGTGTTTCTTCAACAGGGTTGTTATTGTTAACTAAAACTAAAACCATAAAAACATTTTCATTACTTTAAACTAAAATGTTAACTGAAATAAAACTAAAGATTTTAAAAATGATTTTATTTCAGCTAGTTGCATAGGCAACATTTCTTATTTTTTAAGTTTAACTTGAATAAAACTAAAATTAATAAAAACTTAATAGACATATTTAAAAAAAACAAAACAAATGAAAATTACAAACACAATAAAACTACTAAAACTTTGATTGAAATTAAAGTGAAAACAGAAAATATAAAAATATATTTAATTCAAAATAGTAACAATATCAGTGATATTAAATAACATTATTCTTCAATTGCATGGGCTGATTTGTAATAAAACAAACAGGTTTCTGACAACTTCAAACAACTTCTTGTTAAATGAAGCTCATTAAATAAACATTCCTGAAAACTTTTTGCTGTCAAATATACATAATACCATATATAATTTGAGATGTAGTGGAAATAAAATTTTGATAAAAATGACAAAAATACCTGAATTCTTACTTACTGGACAGATTAGAGATACTTGCAAATCTGTAGTAGAAACCTCATTTTCTGGATCAGAGCACAACTTCTCAGAAACTGTCAAAATAAATAAATAAATAACAAATACACACAAATAAATAAAATATATACTTGAAATAATAATAATAATAATAATAACAATAATAATATAATAAATAATAATAATAATAATACAGAATATGTTACAGAAAAGATCTGCTCACTAAACACAATGATTAATTTTCTTTTTCTTTTTTTCTCTTTTAACAATAAAAAGTTTGGACCAACTCAAATTTCAAGACTGGACCATATGTTCTGGTCTTGGAACATTTCACTGATGTTCAAGGGTCAACGCTGGTCTGTTAGCGGTTGATTAAAGTTGGCAGGCCCGCCTCCTCATGAATATTATAACGTGAGATCATTTCTGAGACAGATGTTGATGAAATATTTTATTTATCCTATAGAAAACTATTGTAGACGTAGTTCGAATGCTATGTTTTGAGAGAAGTCACACGCGAAAGAATGGGATTATAGCTGAAGTTGCTTGCAGCTGGCATCTGCACTGATACTAGGTTGATCTTTTAGGTCACATTGCCCTCAAACATGGCCTTTCGATACAAATAATGAGGCAAACACACTGAATAATCACTTTCTGATAAGCCATTTGGCAGTCTTAGAAAGAAAGCAAGACGATAAAGTGAAGTAACTGTAGCAAGAGTTTGAAGATGAGCCAAAAAGAACATCTGCGATAAGATCATTGGTTGAAAACTGTATAAAAGTGTAAACTGTGAGTGAGATGCTCAGATGTCCTGCATCTCGGCTTTCTTATCTTCTTGCAATAAAGTCAAACAACAAAACTCCTGAGCATCCTGAGCATTATTCTGCAGGACAGAGAAGACTTTACTACGGAAGCTGTTTCCGCCACTGAATAAAATATAAAACAAGGTCACTGCAACTTTTTATCTCAGAATTCTGACTTTATTCTCAGAATTGCCAGATATAAAGTTATAAAGTCAGAATTGTGTGATATAAACTCTGACTTTTTTCTTGCATTTGTAAGTTCTCAACTCGTAATTGACTTTTTTTCTCAGAATTGTGTGATATAAACTCACAAGTGCGAGAAATAACGTCAAAAATGCTAGATATAAACTCCCAATTGTGAGAAATAATGTCAGAATTGCATGATACAAATTCGCAGTTGCAAGTTAAAAACTCAGATTTGTAAGATATATAAACATATAAACTCGCAATTCACAATTTTCTCAGAATTGTGAGATGTGAACTCATGATTACCTTGTTTTATTTTTTATTCGGTGACAGAAATGGGCTTCCATCCTTTTCTCCACTAGAACATACCTTGCCGAAGTTTCCCCACACCACTGATAATCGGTTTGTGAATGTAGGGTAGGCCTACAAATCAGGCGTGAGGTCGATTGGACGACATGGACGAGAAGGTTCAGTCCCTATTTTATCAGATGAACAGGTACACTGGGAATAAGATGTAAAAATGACACAAAATGAAGCTAAATGAATGAACAATGTCAAAACAATCATTTAGAAATAATGAAGTAACCAACAACGGTTTAAAACCAGCCATCATCAGAACTTCAATGCCTCGACTGTTTATAGACAATTAGAATACATTTTTTTTTTCTAAGACTAAGACGGAGTTATTAACGTTCCTATTAAGCTATGAAAATGGTATTTCTGAATGTTCTATTATTTCAAAAGGTCTTTTTTTGAAATGTTTCATTCCATTTGATAATTTTGTTACTTTTAAATGTTCTCTGAACATTTGGCATAGTTTTTATATACTTTACTTGAGTCAACATCTATTTTATCTCAAGAAATAAACAAAAACATGGTTTTAGTTTTAGTTAACTATAATAACCCTGGTTTAAAACGCACATTTGGTTCAGTTTTTCCATTTATTTATAATTTGCATTGCATGCATTTCACTCTTTCAGACAAATATAAACAGACATCCACAAAAATGCACATATGTAAGGTTACTGAAATAATAAATATTTATTTAAATTTTAAGATATGTTGCAAAGGATTGT